AGATAAAAGGAAAACCCCCCAGTGGATTCCCAGTAAAACAGAACTTGTCTGGAGGGAAATTTGTGAAAACTATTGAGCTAACAGTTCAATACAAAACACGGTTTTGTGCTGAACATCAAAACCAAGAGAAGAAAACCACAGCAGTGTTATACATACTAAGCGGCACAGGCTTGTCTTACCACTGCCAATACAGATTTCCATGAGGAACAGGATGAAAATTAAGACTAAATCATATTTCATGTTTTTAAACTCAGACCCACACTAAACTGGTTATTTTGATGTGCTAGACCATCTTGGTGCTGTAATTTTCTATTGGTGCAACACTGCTTTGCAAAGCCAACACCCAAATGAATGCATACATGTGTGGTAACTGCCACGAAATCCAGACACTGAAAGAAAAGGGGGAATGTTAATATCCCGGAGAATGAAATAAAGGCACTTGAAGAGATCGATGACCTGAAAAAACAAGCGTTTAGAGAGGTATAAAACCTAAATTCTCAGAGGAACAAATGGAAAGAAGCTGATCCCAGGTGGCGAAAAGAAACTGTACTCACCGATTCAAACAATAACACTCAGCATATCATCACTGAACATATCTGCTCCACTCCAAGACACCTCCGTGGCTAAGAATGCCAAACAAAAGTGGTGGGTGTTGGAGACTCCATTTTCCAGAACAGCAAAACCGAGATAAAAACAAAGATGACTGACATGTATACAGTGAAGACCCAGGTATTGACCATGTGGCCACAAATGTTGTTTAAACAGCACACTTTCCATCCAAGTACAGACATAGTGGATCTCATCAAAGCAAGACGGGCACCTATAGTTTTGGCACAAAAATCAACAAAGAAATCAAGGAAAATGTAAACTAGACTGGATGGGGGAGAGGATAATTGAAAATAAGGTTTCAAGGGGAATAAAAACCAAGGGAGAGCCAAGAGACCAGGTAATTGAGTGTTAATACCTAAAAGGAATATCAGAAACAATTCAGATGTGATAGAAGCTACTACACTAAATATCCATTATGACAGTACTGAGCCAGGATTCTGTGATTTAACCAACAACGGTGGAAAGAAATATGGCACTAGCAGATACACTTGATTTGCAAGACATAGGAAACACAGGAGAGGGGGAGGTATAGCACTTTAGCAAAACTTGGTTATAAGAAAGAGGTACAATGCATTTCAAAAACAGGTTAAAATAAGACCAGTAAGTCGGACTTTTAAACGTAAGGTAATGGAGAATAAGAACTAACCTAAAGGATCACATGCAAGGAAAACTGAGGGTACAGATAATTGGTGCAGACTCAAATTAGTGATGCATCATGGGGATCTTTTACTAGGACCACTGCTGCTCTTAAGTTTAAATAATCTAGATTCAAGTATAGTTAACAAAATAGTCAATAATAATAATAATAATGTCTGTATAGAATACGAATTTAAGAGGATTATCAAAGTGTAGAAGCAAAGGGAATTTAAAAAAAGACTTCAAATTCAAAGTGGGCAACACTTTGCAGATGTTTAATATACTCTGAACTTGTGTACTGCATGCAGGTAGTCACAGAATATCTTAATATGATTAGGAAAACGAGCTAGAATAGGCAATTTATAGAAAAGACATCTTCTGGACAAGGTGGGAAGTAATTAAAAAGGCTATGATTTTAACTATTTAACACTAGGGATCTTATGTCCAAATTAAAGTATTAAGGCCTTAAGAATAGCGTAAAATTATGGTTGCTACATTAAAGAAGAGACATGGCTCTTTGCAGGAAATTATCCAGAGCAGCAATCAGACATATTCTGGAGGTTAAGGTAATGTTCTGCACTAAAGGAGCTGAACATTTTTAATCCCAAAGGGAGAAGGCTGAGGTGACCATGAGGACAAGTATTCAAAGACATGGACAGAATGTCCACGCAGAATTTTTCAGAATGAAAAGTGAAACAAACCAGAAAAGCAGAAGTAGAAACAATAACAAATTTAATTTAAAACCGAAAATAAGAAGCACAAACTGCTGTGGGAGTATGAGACCGTGGTTGGGTAGCTTTTGTTGAAGCCAGTACCCTTACTTCTTTCATGAAAAGTCTGGAAGAAATCCTGAGGTTATTTGACCCTCTTATTTGAGTTCTTAAATAAGATCCCCCCAAATAGCAGCTACAGTACAAAACTGCTACAAAATCTCATGATTGATATTTTGCCAAACATCAATGACAAGACTAGTGAGCATGTGACAAATACAGATAAAATGGCATTGATTTCAAAATGAAAGAGGTAGAAAGTTCAATTAGATATAAAAGGTCGTGGAATGGATTTATAAAGGTCATATACATTCCACTTTACTGCTGTACTACAGTCTATCTACAGCTTTCTGGTTGAACATGACCATTCAAAAAATTAAGGGCTGTTTTTCCTGGCTCTTTTCCTAAAGAGCTAAAGCAGACATTTTGTGCTTCTTCTGTATCAAAATAAAGGGCCTGTTTATATTTCCTAACTCCCCAGCCATTTCTCCACACCCGGCTGCATTCTCCCTCCTGCAATTACTTTCTAAATACGAAAATTCTAAGAGCTGTGTAGAGCTGTGATTCTAAATTTCCGTTAGAATCACAGCTCTACATTCAGCACAAGAGTGAAGCTTAACCATAAAAAACATAAGCAGGTGAATTTGAGCATACATATCTGGGCTGATCCAGCATTTTAAAAAATGACCGTTTGCACCTTTTCCGAATTTAAAGGAAAGATAGGTTTACAAGGAGCAGATCCAGAAGTACACAGTATAAACTTAAGGACCAGATGAAGAGAAACACTGCAATACAATCTGAATTCATCATTTTATTTTCAGAGCACACACAGATAAAATGGAGAGTGGCAGGAACCAGCAAACTGACTTTATGAAACTTAGAGTAAAACTGCTCATTAGAGGGACAGACTATTCACTAAAAGGTCTTTGAGCTTTTAGAAACAGCAAAGTAATGAACTCGGGCAGGGAGTTCACAGACAAGGAGCTGCACACAAAAAGGCTATATCACCTGTTGTGTGGAGCCTAGTCTTCAGCAAAGTAAGAAGGCCTCAATGTGCAGATTTGTGATTAGGACCTGTACTACATTCGTGCAATTAATCCTCAAAATAATCTTGTGCTAGATTTTTGACACTTTGTAACCAATGTTTCCCATTTATTTTGTCAAACATGTGTCTTCCTTCAAAGAATTAGAAGACATAACTTCACTAGATTCACACAATTTAGGAAAATATACTCATTACCCTCCAGGTATAGGATTTGAATCAAATTTGTAAAAATCATAGCTGCCATTGCAAGACATCAAATTTCCTTTCTGTTGAAGACAACACCTGTTGAACGGTTGGATAACGAGTTCCAACATTAGTGACCCAATCACCTCCCGTAAAATCTGTTTGAGAGATGCATGAAGCAAAATGCTCAACACATGTAAACCAAAAAGCAGCTCAGGCCTTGTTTAGCAATTACAAGATTTTAAGGGGCTTTAACTAAGAAACTGAACTGGCTAAACAAGTTTAAAGGGTCAGAATGCCGAAATGAGCAGAAGAGACTGGGATCCACTGTAAATTGCTTTGGGAGATAATGTTCCAATGCAGAATAGTTTTAGTAAACCATGAGGCACAGAATTCTAGACAGTGAATCTTACGTAGCATCAGAGATAATAGGTCAGTAAGTAATGTCTTTATCAAGAAGATTAGGCTACTGTAATGCAATGATCAATACTTCAGAATCAGCATCTTAACCAAGCAATGTCAGCCCTTAGGCAGAACATACCCTTGTGACATGTCTAAAATGCTTCAAACTACAATAGTGGTGTTAGCTTTAACCCATCAAACAATTGTTGATGGGGTTTAAACCAAGGACATCAGCAAGTTAGCAAAAAGAATGTT